GGTCCAATCCTGCTTCAGCACTCTAATAAGCATTAGAAATGTGTACAGCTGAACACATCAGGCGACAGGGCACAATGCCAACTCTCAACAATTTCCAAGGCAATTTGTAAGCATTCAGCATGTGTGCAGTTGTGAGTAACAGTGAAGTGATTCACCTCATCTACCTTTAAGACGTGGCATTTGGGTATGGAGTCTCAGTAGGTCACAGAGGTGTTGCCTCTGTACTCAGCAGAGAGGACAATCCAATTCATCCTTACTGCTGTCAGGAGGAAATCTTCCTCTTGGAGACTCATCAGTCTCTGCCAACCACTGACACCCTTGAATGATACACCTCAAGAGTTACATTCAGATGAGGTGAGTTCTGGCCAAAAAGTAACTGCTCTGAGTCCAGGCACCTATTTGATTGAAAGTACTACGGAGGTATCTGACTTACACCTTAATACAGCGTGGTTCTGGAAAGCTTTCATACTGATGGAGTTCTTACAGTGAGGTGACGGTGTGCATAACATTCGCAGGCTGGTAATTGCATTCCAGTTCTGCGGCAAAAGTTCCTTTGTGAGTTGGATTTAAAATTTGGTGTATTATACAAGCCCCAGACTAACCCGATTTCACTTCTTAGAAGCTGGCCCTGCTTGAAGCAGGGGTTTGGACTGGATGACCTCCAGAAGTCCTTTTCAATCCAAAGTACTTAACAGCTCTCTGTGCTTGTACATCTGTGGCACTAAACCTCTAGCTCCTCTGCTTTTCTTTCCAAATGTATGCATTACAAATACCTGTTCAGTCTTCAGAAGTCCCTTGTGAATTATGCATGTTAAGAATCCCATGCAGTCTCACAGAACGACATTCTTAAATCAATTCTTAACTTCTTCACCCGTCACTTCAAAAAAAACCTGAAGTGTTACTTACATTCTGTTTCCTGAGCTCATTGACTCCTCTTTCCCTCTGCAGCAGCTCACCGAGACCTGCGATGCAACTGATGCGACAGAATCGAAACCGCGCCGAGAGCAAGGGCTGTCCCATGCCATACTCATGAATCAGACCCTGGAGTGCCGAAGGGCCAGCCAGGAAGACATGGCCCTGGAAGACACAGCCTCCCAGCAAAGCCTGTCTGAGGAGCAGTAAGGATTATTGGTAGCGCGAGGGCCACACGTTTCTCAGAATTCGAGACAGAGTTAAGTCAGGGAGCTGCAGGTGGGTTTATGTTCTTTCAGATTTAACACGTAACCTCCAAACGTTTATTTTTCTAACTTTTAAGCTGGAATATGACAGGGCACGTGTTCTTCAGTTAAAGGCTTTTGGCATGGGTAGGGTTGGAAGATGTTCTAAAAATCATGGTGCCACTTCATCTCAGGTTCTTGTAAATCCTACAGCAATGAACACAACCTGTGTGACATTCCTTCCCATGCAGAGGCACTGACCCACGAGTGGTGACAAAATAAAGCGTAACAGGTGGAGAATGAATGAATACAATAGAAGATACTAACACAACTTAGTGAAAAGCACACGAGACATCTTTCCTGCCATAGCTAGACAGCTGATTGCATGCAAACTAATTGGCATTTGATATATAATGTATAACAAAAGACAGCTTTGAAGAGAAGCAGTGAACACGTACAAGGACAGTACAACGTGTGCTGGAACATTAGACATAAATCTGATTTTTCTTCCCCAACAGCAAATCTCTTTATTTTCCTCCGACACGTTATGCAGGTGGTAATTATGAATAGCAACATAGCATCACACAGACTGATATACTGCATGCAGCTATACTGAAACTTTGTGTGAACGAACCTTGCTAAACACATTAATAAAAGTCAAGCGCAAGAAAGAAAGTAGCCAGTGCATGGAAAGCCTTCACAAAGCATACGGTGCACCTTATCTGCAAAGAAAGCAGCTCTCTATTAACAGCTGCTCTTAGGTATAATCTCATGCTCCTGTTTGGTTTACAACAGTGTTTCTCAAACTGCAGGCAACCAGCTCTCCTGGGAGATGCAAAAGGGCCCGGGAGAGTTCCCCCCGAGGACAGCAAAGTGCAAAGCAGGCTGTAATTACTGTCTGCGTTTGTATTGGGCAGGGAGCAGCTCGATGCCTTCAATTGCTGGACACAGCTCAGTGTCCATAAACATGTGCAGCCAGTAATTACACAGAGCTCCAATTTCCCTCCCCCAGAGAAACTGAGCTGCTGCCAGTTTAACAGTTGCATAAAGACAGATGAAGCAAAAAGAGAGACTGTGCTTTCACAAAGTTTGAGAAATACTGATTTACAGGAATGCATGACTGTTTTGGAAGCCAGAAGGCTACAACAAATCCTTAATGTAATATAGGGCATAAACACATGCGCGTTTTGTTTGTTTTTTTTTTTTAATTAAAAAATTTGCAGCTATCTGTGTTTTGCTGTCCCTCTTCACTGTAACTACCACGGACTGTTTCTAATTCTCCTCATGATAATGTGCAGCCAGGCTGTCCCAATTAACAAGGAAGCTTTAACGAGAGATGCCCCACCTAAGGGTCATTGGCATTAGATGATACGCTGTTGCATTCCGAGCTTCCTAGCGTGCCACGCTTGAGATGACAAGCAGTAGAACCAAATAACAGCAAGTGAAAATAAAACCATCCAAATATGCTTTGCGTGGCAGCAGTTTTCCAGTTTCCTCTTTTATTTTGAATTCTTTTCACTTTCTACTTGTTATGCAATGGAGAAATCTATTGTTTTTCTTTCATGTAGATCTTGGCAAATTCGTTCTTTATAATGCTCAGCATAATCTAAGCAACATTCTGCTTGCGTTTACAGGCACAAAAGCAGATTGATACCATGTATTCCCTGAGACACACAGCCATCAGTGTAGCTCAGGCGGTGCTGCTGCCTCCTGCAGCCTCCACATGTGATGTGGAAAAGAACCTGAATACAGCTGCTCCTTTCTGACCACTTCTGGCAGATACGACCTCTCCCACCACCCTGCTGGCAGCGTGCTTGGCACTCATTACACAGGACAAAGAAGTTATGGGTGTAGGTAGGGGACTCTCAGTTTCAGGCACCAGCCCTATTTCTCCTTTAGGGGCTTTGCAGTCTCCTGGGATAAGCCACCAACACTGTCTTCCTGGGCTGTTATGCGCAGAACTGGGGCAAATAGCTGCAGAAAGCACTAAGCTTTCCCAGGTTAGCCTCACCCAGGCTTATGATTGTCAAATCTCAAACTAAAACTTGAATTAACTTCTATCAAAAACAACTCTGTTGGTCTCAACCAACCAAAATTATTCTGTGCATCTACTTCAAGCAAACTAAACCACATGAGAAACAGCTGCCCTTCTTCTGGCTGCATTCACTTGACACCAATGGTGACACGTTCCACCATCACCACTTCTTCAAGAGACTCACCCATATCCATGGCCTCTCTGCACCCTAAGAAAAACAACCACCTCACAGTTCCTGTCTGAGGTAAATCAACCAGGGCCTGGAGGACACGAGGTGCAATGAGGCTCAGGCTCCTGCTGTGCAGGGCAGCTGTCAGAATAGGCAACTCCTAACTTCTGTGTGCAGGCACAGCACACAAGCAAGACTGGAATTCAAACAGAAGTGAGTTCTTTTAGTATCCTAATACAGGTTTTCTTTTTGCTAAAGGTGTTACTGTAGCACAGAGGGGTTGAAAAGCAGAAGAGGGGCCATTACTAATAGTATCAATTAAAAAACAACAACAAACGATAACCAAAGATGGCAGCAGAAATTCTCCTCAATGTTGCATTTCTACATGATTTTGGAGATAGCAGGGTTGATGTTACTAAAACTGCTGCTATGTGCAGTGTTTTTAGATGTGGTCCAATGCCACAGAATTATCACACGCGATGGTTAGAAATAAAACCTGCAACCGGGTACAAGGTTGTACTGACTAAAAAACATGAGGTAGAGACAAACCCAGTTAATTATTCTACATCAGTATGTGATGGAAGATACATTTAACACATCTTTTCCTTGGAAGAAATCTGTCCACCAGAGCAGTCAGTACATACAGTTCTTTCATAGAGATGGCAGCAGGGATGACGAGATGGAGCCCCCACCTGCTGCTCAGCTTGTCCCCAGACAATAACACTGCTGCTGAAGAGAAACATGGCTTGGTTTAATCCATGCTGCCTTGACGAGCCCCTCAACATGAGAGAGCAGGGAGGAACACATCCAGCAAGTACAGCAAGCTCCAAGGAGGAGGTTGACAACTGTATGGTGCAACAAGCACAGGTACAGCACTTCAGCCCTTATGTGTGGGTGTTATAAAGTGTGGGACATTCACCACCTGCCCTCATTTTGCTTTCCTAAACTCTCTTTTCACTGGTGAGCTCTTGTTCACATCACACAGTGAAAGCTGAGTGAGAAAATCCTAAGGGTGAAACATGCCCAGAGCAGGCCAGAAGATGTTAGTAGCACTTTACGAAAGCCAACTGGAAGCTGCAGAACTGCTCACAGCCACCAGGAATGCCAGCAAGCCCTCAGTGTGGCCTTCAGACCAGCTGGTTCCTACCACAGGAAGCAAGAAGCAAACAGTGATGGGCGCTATTCCCAAAAGTAAGTTCATCCCAAAATACAAATGCCATAGGTCCTGCACGTCCCTCTATTTTGAAGTGTTTAAAAAGGTTTTATATATGTATACATACATATATGTACTAGTAAGGAACTCGAGCTGCCACTAAGAAGTCTCACCTTGTTTCTGCACACAGAAAATTTTGACATTCATGGCATTTAAGACAAACATTATCGAAAGCACTTACCTACCACTGGGATTCTTTATCCCTTGCTAAGACAGACAGGTACTCTTAGTCTAAAACTCTGAAGTTCTTGGAGTCTCTGCAATGCTACCTGCATTTTTAAAGAGCTATTAGTAGCACTTGGTTCCAACTCAAGTGACTGCACTTCTCTTGCTGGGGAATTTAAGTTGAAGATTAGCTGAATTCTATGCAACTCATAGAAGATTAGGATTATCAGTGAAATCCTCCAGCATGTAATAAGCATCATCTCATCAATGCTTTTTTATTTTAAACTACCCAATTATTGCCATTTTTAGATTGCTCCCTGGACTGGGAGCTGGTATTTACAGCATTTCACTACTTCTTGTACAACCTGAAATCTGCAAGACAGACATCTTACTTATAATTAACTTTGCAGTAAGTCCAGTGTTGAAGATTCACCTCTCATTCAGCCTTCTCAGAGTATTACAAGTCAGAAATGGTCTAATGCATGATAAATAATACAGGCCCTGTTATTCCACACTGTGTGCTATTTATGTTGGATTACAAGCCTCCTTGCCAAAAATGTCCTCAATTCTCAGGCTTTGAGAAAATAATTGGTACCTCACAGTCCCCTCTTTTTTGCACCAATTAAAACCTGCAGGTGCACTAATCTTGTCATCTGGAATCTTGCTGTTACATCAGAGGTTATTTTCACCAAATGTGTGCTATTAGTAAAATTAGCCCATCAGGGGAATGGTGAATGCTGTTTGTTGTTACAGTTCTGTCAAGGCTTTCCAAATATTTTACTAGTGTAAGACCAGAGAATACATTTTTTATCTCTGAAGTAAACACAGAAGCTAACTTCAGTTGCTAATACTGCTTTCTCAGTGCGTATTTGGGACAGGCAAATCATTTCTTTAGGACTGTCTCAGAACACAAAAGCCAGAAATGACTGCTGAAACCATTTAGGATCTCCTGCTGAACACAGATCACAAAATTTCCCTTTATTTCTCTTAAAAGCACTGTGTAGCTCAGAAGATGGATTTAAAGAACAGCAACAACAACAAAAAAACAAAACACAACGACTCACCAATCTAGAGCCAGGCAGCAAAAAGTAAGAGCCACTAATGGCAGTGGCAAAAAATACCCTCTGGTTTAAAAGGCTGATGTTTCATTCACAGCAGAGAAGGAAAAATTCACCTCCATTTTGGGTAAGTTGTTTCAGTGACTGACTCCCCTCGCTAAACAAGGTCCCATCAGCACACTGCTCAAAACTTAGCAGAGCTGAAGATTCTTTTTTTTCCAGTCTAATTATGGAATGCAGTGAGCAGGGCAATATACTTACTCTTATGAGGAACAAACATCACGAGGTGATGCAACTCTTAACACTACTGCCTGAACTGCAGTTTGGAAATCTGAACTCTGCTGTCATCACTCCTGAAGAAATTCCCCTTCCCAGCCTTCACTTAAGTATCAAATATCTCCATTTTAGATTTAAAAGTCAGACCTTCTTTAACACTTCTGAAAATTTTGCTAACTATTTAATCATTGAAAGAAATATTATTCTACAGCATACTTTATAGCTTAACTCATTCCACTGAAATTATCAGGTGTTCAGCATGTAAGAACAGAGAGGCTTATGCTCCAAAGTCTATGGCACACAGCCCTAAGAAAGTGCTTTGTCTTGAGTCATCTAACAAGGTGCCTTAAGAATGCTTTGGATTTAAAATTAACAAACAGACAACAAAAAGCACCAAGCAACCACTGCAGGAGTTCCCAGGCTCCATAGTTTAGATACCTGCATTCCAGAAATTAAATTTAGATTATGGCTTCCATAAACATCTCCTTTCTGAATGAAGTTCTTGTTCCCTTCCAGTAACTCCATTTCGAATATATCGGTATGTTAAAAGTCACAGTGGCCAGTATCCTCTCCTTGTTCAGCAAATTAAACAAGGGCATGAAAGAATTAATAATTTTATGTCATCAAAAATTCTGGGCTGGGTAGATTATTATTCCAAGAGCCTCCAGCTTTATACTGTGTTCAGTAAATAACAGAGGAAAGCAGGAGCAGCAGCCACTGCTACCAAAGGCAATGAATGGTAAATGCTGGGGCAGGAGCTAGACATATTTCTTTCACAACAGTTCCATTTCTTGTTGCAAGTCCTGTACAGGCAGAATTTGGAGCCCTTCATCCTTTTTGTCTGACAACAGTCAGATGCCTGTACTAATGAGGGGATTATGAAGACCTTGAAGACACAGCTTTTTATTGTGAAAAGCAGGCCAGAACTCCATACTCCTAAAGGAGGGGATCTCTGAATTCTCTTTTTTCCAGACGTGAAAGCTGTACTGTTATCCAAATTAATGTGACCAGAATAGCTGTGTAATGGAGCTGTCAAGGAACAGGGCCACTGTGTCCTTTAACCCTTCTCCCATCTAAAGAGGGACAATGTCAGAACCAGACTGTTAACCAAATGCAGAGTGTCTCTTCTCTTTCCTGTAAGCTCCCAGCACCAGGGCATCTGTAAAAAAAAAAAAATGCTTGTTCCCATCCACATACATAGAACTACTGGTATCAGTTTACACAGAAACAAGTAACAAGAACGATGCTTGAAAATGCCTTTAGTTTGCTCACTTTAACAGTTGTTGAACTGAACACAAGAGTTAAGAAGCAACTGAAGCCTTAACTTACAGCCAAAGATGACTATAAATCATACAGTGAACAAGTGTGCACCTGGGAGGGAATTCTGTTTTAACAACATGCAAAATTGATTAGGTGGTAGCACTTTCCCTGAATGCATTCGCAAACCTCAGAGGAAAAAAATACATTGTCTAAAACTCTCACACACTCCTTATATCACCACTAACCATTATGTGTGTACAGAATTGAGTAAGGAAAAAAAACTACATAAACAAACAAACAAAAAAGTATCAGTAAATGCAGTGGCTTGAAAATCCCCATACAGAGACACATGCAGTATTAGGTCGATCCTGACCTCATAAACTCCGCATGGAAAACACGTCAAGACTTGACTCAGTCTCGTGAAGCTAGGAGGGTTATGTTCTGTCACACCAAGGCCACGAGTTCTGGTTCCTCAATGCACATTATTGCATGGGAATTACAGACCACGAATTGTCCTCCAACAGAAATGTCCTCAACATTCTGAAAGACAAAGATCTCCAAGACATCTGGCAGCTAATTGCTTTTATGTGGTGAAACAGGATCAGAGTCAGACCGTCTACCTTTTTCAAATACCCAAGTTGAAGTTTCACATTAACTACAGATCTGTTGAATTTTTAAATGGATCAGCTTGTGGACGGGATAAACAACAATCCTTCTATCTTAATTTTCATATTGTGGAGCAATAGCAGCTTTACCTTGCTTACCCAGGAAGCTCTAGTGACCCTTCAGGGGCTTACATAGGAAGGACAGTCTAGAACATCCACAAGTTTAATGTTTTATAAAAATAAAAGCTTTAGTTATGAAGTAATAAAAGCTTTACAAGCAAGAAAAGGTCTTCATTGCCTGCATGACTCCACAGCTGCCAAGATGTCCTGCAAGATGTTGTTCCTGTTTTCCTTACTGACCTAGAAAAAGAGAAATTAAAACAGATGTAATTGGATGAGTAACCTCCATATGATGTTTTACTTCAAAAACAAAGCAGAAATTCAAATGCATTTCATTCTTGGTGGGGGAATGCCGAGTGTCAAACACCAGCCTTCTTGTGCTACCAACAACACATGAAACTAAACCCACAAAACTGCACACAATTTAATTACTCATGGATACCCACTGCTTGGATACCCAAGGCTTGAATAACTAACAGAAATTGCTCAAAAAACCATCGAGTACTTCTGCCATTACTAGAAATCCCTTCCATTTACTAAACCTCATTTTTCTACAATAAAGAGGAGGTCTTACACCTTCAGTGCTTGAACAGACTGTATTTCTATCGATGTCAGGGCAAGTAAAAAGCATCCTCAATGAAAAAATTAGAACTGGCTTAACAACAGCACAACTGTGCACTGAGAAGCCTTAGCACTGCAGGACAGAAACACCTTGAAAGAGAAATAAAACTATGGGATAAAAGCTGGGGAACTTTTATAGTGCACTGAGGTATGTCCTTTGTTTACCAGTCCCTGGAAATGTTGGACTTTTAACACCAGCCCAGGTGAAAATCCATACAGTCCAGCACCCTGTCTTCTGCCAGGTCCACCTGTGGTTGCAGCATCTGCAGACTACTGTAAATTGCCAAAGCAATGTTACAACTTCCTGGCCAGCTCAGCCCCTGGGTCCAGCAGTGACACAGTACAGAACTGTGGGGCTGGGGGTTGCAAATTTCCCATTCTTGAAGACTCTGTCCTGATACAGTCACCTGCATTATGTGCATGACCACAGCATTACTAGCTCAACCATCACTTGGGGAGAGGGCTGGAGTGGTGAAAGGGCTAAAAAATTGCTAAGTATCAGTAAAAGCTTCATTTAAAAAGCTTAAGGAAATAGCTGCAGTGCTCAGATCTCTGCAGAAAAGGCAGGAGGAAATCACACAAAGACAGATGAGACAAAAAGAAAAAATTAGGGCACTCATATCTATTAACAAAGTTTGAAGAGAAAGAAAAGATACCACAGTATACATGACATAAAGCTCTCCACCAGCAATTCCCTGCAGCTACACTTAAGATCTGGGCGCATGGATTTGCATTCCTTCCAGGCAGTATAGACTGTAGTCAGTACTGAACAGGAAAAAGTCTATTATTGTCACCATCATCATCAACAAACTAGTGACAGCCCTACCTAAAAAAATTCAACCTAGGCACCCATTGCTATTTGTCACAGACATCCTATCAAAACATTGGAAAACAACACTGTAAACCTTGAGACAGTGGTCTCACCTATGACACTTGAATTCAAGAGAGCAGATCAATGTGAGACTGAAGAAAAAGTGATTTAGAAAGAAAAAAAGAGGAAAGGGCAGGAAGATCTCCCTGAAAGTGTTGCTGTTTTTATTGAGCATCATTCCAAGACTATTATTAGACAAAAAGAAAGCCCCACAATAGCAAAGAGCAAGACAATAAAGAATGCAATTGCTCTTCAGTAAGACTATTGAGGTACCCCGAGGTAAACAAGGCACGGAGCACAGATGAGCCAAGCTCTAAATCTCACAGCAAGTGTCCTGACATCCTGACTTTCAAAGGACCTTCTGAACATTTAATAGCTCTTCCCACTGTCTCAGAGCCAACGAAAACAATACTCCATTTTATCTGTCCTCTTCCATACCTACATGCCAGAAGTCCAGTGAGAGCATCAGAGAGAAAGTGCCAAGTACTGGGAAATTCTCACAACCATTTTGCAAAGGCTGCTTGACAGATATCAGCCTCCTCCTAAGGTCTGGAGACGTTCTGCACAGGCAGCTTTCCCAGACAGAACAAATCTCCCAGTACTTGTAGTGAATGTACAAAGAGATGGGAAGATTTTTAGGGAGTAAAGGCAACCACAGATGCTGCGTTTTACTAAGCACTTAGATAATTTTGAATAAATGATCACTGGATAGTGATAGAACAGGAGGGAGTGATTTCAAACTGAGACAGGGGAGGTTTAGGTTAGGTAGTAGGAGAATGTTTTTCACCCAGAAGGTGGTGAGGCACTGGAACAGGTTGCCCAAGGAGGCTGCGGGTGCCCCATCCCTGGAGGCATTCAAGGCCAGGCTGGATGTGGCTCTGGGCAGCCTGGTCTGGTGGTTGGTGACCCTGCACATAGCAGGGGGTTGAAGCTGGATGACCATTGTGGTCCTTTTCAACCCAGGCCACTCTGTGATTCTATGAGCACCTAAACTCCAAGGATGCAAGAGCAGAGGACAGAAGCTTCCTTTCCCTAACCATTCGGGTACTGCCGATGGAACAGAATTCGTAGTTTGTTCAACTGGAAGCTCCTCTTCTTGTCCATTTAACTAATTGCTTTCTTAAAGAGCAGAAACAACCAAACCTCACTAAGGGGCTTTACAAATACAAAATTAATAGAAAGGAAAATGGGAGAAAATGAAGGCATGCCAGCTGCTAGGGATAAAGCAATCCCAGTTATATATCATATATATATGATATATAACCCTAGTTATCCACGTCTGCAAAACTACGCAGATCTGGGCACTGCAAAAAGATCTTTCTACTTTCACTGGAAAGTTGAGTTCTCAGCAAAATGGAATTGGGTAACAATGGAAAAAAATGTGTTAAATATCAGAGCTCCTATCGTTAAGTGCTTTAAATGTAATAAATTAAACATTTGGATCCAAATCCCAACTACTTTTAGGGCATCTGGGCCCATTTACAGCAACTAAATATGCTTTCAAGACAGAAGGGACTATAAAACCCACAACAGCTGTGTCTATGCCCTTAACATCAAACATCAGAACCATCCTTGTGACAATAAAAGAAGGATCAGAAAGCTCTGCTGAGTTACTTGAATGCAACCTAACTCCATGTTAAGTGACAAAGCAGACAGAATTTTTTGGAAGGTAGCCACATATGTCTGCACACTTTTGGGCATCATAAAAGCCAGCAAGAGAAAGCTAACCACAAGTAATTTGGGCACTCCAGGTTCTCTGCATGCCAAAGCCCTTCAAGAAAGTAGCTGGTGATTCAGTGTTTACTCCAGCCAGTAACATACTGAGTCTCCAGCAGCAGTTCCTGCTCATGTGCTTATTTTAAACAGCTGGGGAAGAGCATGCAGTGTGTCACTGGAGTGAGACAGATGTTCTCCTGCATAGCCTTCAGCACAGCAGATCCCTTGTCACCTGGATACTCTTGCAGTCTGTCACACATTTCACACCCTTGCTTTTGGGTAAATGATCCAACAGAGAAATCTGCTTTTAAACAAAGAAACCCGCACACTAATCTCAGCAGCATAAACAGAATGGCTCATTTTTAGTAAAGGCTTTTTTCAGATAGAGAAAACATTGCTCTACTGAAATGTACAGGTCATTACATTTGAAAACGTGATGTATTGGCACGACACACCTAATAACCTGGGGTCGAATGGCAGAAGCCTCTAGAACACCACCTGATAGAATGAGGCTTGAAATGTCCTTGAAAAGCCAAATACTGTTTTCCAGCACCATTTCTGACAGAAGGAAACACACATTGCTGCCTTGCCATGACTGCATCCTAAGCAGTAAGTGACTGTTGCTTTCTCCGTTCCATCTCCTCCCAATTCTACCACCATAAAGCATTCACATTCACACACATCCCTGTTCAGCAGCTCAACAAACAACACACTGGCTTCTCAGTGGGAAATGTGGGTTTTAATCTCTGAGGGAAAGGTAGGAGTTGAACGTTTATTAGGGGAAAGAAATCTTTTCTTGCTTTTGCTGCTAGGGTTGCTTCAGCACCCAAAAAGGTTTTTAATTTAAGAAATATAAAATAAAGATGATGATGATGGGACCACTGAGCAAAAGAAAGCTGTGGTCCCTTTCCAAGCACTGCAGTTCTGTTCTCGCTTTGAAGAAAAAAAAAAAAGAAGATGGAGGCTTTGCTTTCTCTGCAGTAATTAAGATCATTCTTAAGATTTTTTTCTCCTTCCTCATTCATTTGCATTAGAAGAAAGGACCTATAGTCACTGTGATCTGCTTCCACTCAAGAGCAGGCTGCAGTACCATTCTGCTCTACAGCCTATTACCCCTGCCAATAAGCCAGAACCTGCAAGTCTCAATTACTGTATTTGTAATTTATGGGTATGTGCAGTTCAGTTTCTGATATACAGCTTTATTCTCTACTAGAAATAGTAACACTGAGCAGAAAAATAACTGAAAGGAGAGGGGGTTGCATTTAGCTCGTTTTTGTAAAGTATCGAGGGCACTTACAGATGCTAAGGAAACCTCACACGTATCCCAGTGAACAGGCAGTTCTGTTGTGGTAAGTTTTTGAGAATTTCTCTGTTACTGATCAGAAAATCACTTTGAGGCCCTAATGTCCTGAATATTACATCTGTAAAACAACATAATGAATCCTAAAGTTGTTTCACTGACTCCAGAGAAAGCACACTCCATTTACAAGTGTCTTTCTTTCACAAATTATTTCTGCAAACTCTACTGCTGCTTTTTTTCCCCCTTGAATATGATTACTGGTAATATTTCTGCAAGCCAGCCTGCAAAACATAAAAAGAAATCTGACTGTATTTTAAAAGATTTAACTCTCAGGAATAGGGAATACTCAAGTGGCAGTAATACTACAGTAAGAAAACTTTTAAAGCAACGACATCATTACTTCTACAGCCTCTCAAAAGCAAAGCCAGCTGTGTGAAGCTGTGGTTTTTTTTGTTTTGTTTTTGTTTTTATTTTTTAATAAGGTGAACACCTGCCCATTAAGAACCAAATGGAAACTAAAAGGCTTATTTCATACAAACTCTCCACAGCTAGCAAATGGTAGCAACAGTCAGTTTTTAAACAGAGCCAAATACAAACCCACAACCCAGAACAGAAGGCTCTTTAAGGGTACTTAATATTACTCACAGTGAACACTTCAACATCTCTCCTACTTCTTATTTCTTCAACAAGATCCAGTGGCTTTCCCTTAGGTATTGGAATAGTTCCAAGTACCACGGTCCCAGAGCCAGCCAGCATCTGACGAACAGCTTGAATAAAAGCCTGGCTGAAGAGTTCCATTTTACCAATCTCATCTATGACGCAAATCTTTTTCTTTGCATCACTGCCCTGGTTTACCTGTGGAGAAGTGCATCAGGAGATTGTAAACATCACAGAACTTCGAACAAGCAGCAGAAATAACTGCTATGCTAATAAAAACTACCTCCAAAATAAATCCATTGCAATACTGGGGAAAACTGAAAAATCAAAACTGCTGCTGCTGATAGCTGGCCAACTATAAATCTGTCATCTGTATTTCAGGAAAAGACCGGTGGAAAGATAAGAATACATGTATGGCATAAATACCAGCTATGATGACAGGAAATATTCAGAATATCATTTTTCCTTCAGAGCAGAATTCTCCAGGTATTTGACAATAAAGAACTGCTGTCATTAAATCTGAAGGACCCAGACGTTTCAAAACATTGAATTCTGCATTTAGAATAAATCAATATCAACACAACATAATAATTAGGAATGGCTTGCATTACATGTTGGAAGCTTGTAGCTACAGAATGCCTTTCAAAAACAATTTTAAATTTAGAAGATTGTTCCTCACTATTTTAGCAAAACAAAAAAACAAAAACAACCAAACAAACACATCAGATGTTTACACCCTTGTCTACAGCTTCCAAACTTTAAGTAAGATTTCAGATTTTACGAAGGTTATTTTTTCATTATCAGCTCATACAGGAGCAGTTTTGTCTGTGTCAGCTGAGCCCTCAGTGCTGCAAACTGAGACATGCACAGGAGTGAGCAGACTCGGACAGGTCTCAGAATCTTCACCTTTGTCTCCAGTATTTGTTACATCATGATAAAACTTTGAAAGGTCAATGCAGTTTGTCCAAAGTAGAATAGGAAGGCAGGAGTCAAACTGTAAACAAAAATGTGCTGATCTCTTCAGAAACAAGAACACTGTTCTCCTTCACACTGTGCCTTCTGTTTCCGTCTGCTCTGCTGCTTTGGCATAAGCTCTTGCCACAAAATTGACTTGATCATCAGATTCGTGATCAGAACCTGCCATCAAAGCAAGCTATGCAGAAGCACATTGTGATAGCATCTCTAGAATTGAAAACAAACAAACAAACAAACAACACCAAATGAAAACCAAAATGAAAGAGTCTAAGATGGCAATAACCAGCACTTATCTCAAAACAAGCAACTTTCTCCAAAGTTATTTGGATAAACAATCATGCCTTTGCCAGCTTTTTCTCCTCTCTCATGTCAGAACAATCATCTTCCATTTCTTTCTCATTATATAGTGTGATATAAAGAGAGTGCTCTGGCTGTCCTCTCCTGGTGAAGTTAACTAAAAATTACTCTCCACTAGTCTCAGATGTGAGGAATGAATCAACCTCAACTCAAACTCTCCTCTATAAAACCATGAACACACACCAATAGCAGCCATGCTACACAGAACCTAAAGAAAAGGAAATCTAAATATTTTTCCCCGTGAAGACCACGTATTTTTAGCAGTACTGTTCAGCAGCTACTGCACACAGTAGATGCCACGCTATTGCCAAAGTCAGATCTGCTCTTGTTTAATTTTGAAGAAGGGGAAAGGTTTGGGTAAGAGAGAAAGGAGAAGCAAAAAGGGTGATGATCATAATATTGCTTGCATTGCTGGCAGAGAATGACCAGAGAAGGACAAGAAAAAGACTAAGTAAGTCTTGTCACAGAGCACTCCTTCTGCAGTTGGCTAAGTCTGAAATTATCAGATTGCTGCATCATTTGAAACCAAGCTGTACTGACACAGCGGTAATAAAAAGTAATTACTGGATTCAAGCTACGAATAATGTTCCTACTGAAGGAATGGAATTAGAGCAAAAAGAGGGAGAAAAAAAGGACATGAAGAGAAACAGTGACAAAATCCTTTCTCATGGGCCCACTAACTCAAGCCACTTGTATGCAGTAAGCCACCTGTACATTTTGTTTGCCTTCTACCATGCAAGGTAGTGGCATGGGCAGTCTCTCAACCCAAGGTGGGCCTGGCCACAGGACGCTGTCACATGAAGAAGGAGAGGCAAAGCAGTCTCACACCTCACAACAGCTCTGCCCCTTCTGCTACCTGATCCTGAAGGCAATCAGAATCAGTGAAATTCAAGAATGAGACCCTTTATTAACATCAAAATTGAATGCTGCAGAAGAGTCCTCCAGTAACAATCATTATCATGAAGCATCCATTTTTTCAGCAGCTTTAGTATAATACTCACATTTCTCAGCACAGGCAGAACCAACTGCTCAAATGAAGCAACATCTACAACGTATTGTCCAACACGACATTCACGTCTTGAAGTAGAAGAATCAGAACTAAATTTGAAAGACACACACAAATCCTTCTAAGTAATAAGTTCAGCAAGAACTTACTGCAGTCATTTCAAGTGGATTTACTAGAATAATTACTCTAGTCAGTCAATTTGCTCTTAATTCTTCTAAGCAAAGAAACCGTGAAAGCAATGCATTATATAATACTGCAGACAGCATACTTTCAGATAACAAATATGCCATAAGCTACCTTCAGTACTATATAAGCTTAAATTCGAATGCTATGCAGAAGGACAAAAAAAATACAAAAGGTAATGGAGATATTTGCAATGAAATCAAAATATACACCTGCAGTTCTTGCAGGCATAGGAGCTGCCTTTGAATTAGGCAGTGTGACACTAGACAGCATCAAAGCAACAACCCAAAGCTCAGAATAGGCTGCAGAACACTTAAACAGTGTTTGAAAAATACTCAGTTTGTATGTACAGCATCACACTATTCTGGGTGAGCCGTGTTTGTTAGTAGTATGCAAGTTATTTGGTCAGGTCAGTTACGTCTGAATGTGATGGAAATATCATGCCTCCCTAGACTAAGTTGCGCAGGAATCATTAATCTAGCCTGGTAAATTAAGAAAGTGCTCTGCACTTCTGAAACCCTATTCTGAGTGGGACTCTGAGGCTCCCTTTTTCTTCAAATTCACATGCAGGATTTGTGGGCCAATTGGTGGCTCTTTAATACAACATTAAGTGCTATTCATCTTTAATTTTCAGATTCTGTACTCACAAATCAGCTGGAAGAAAGAAGTAATCTTCTCTCCTGACTACAGCAAGCTATGCACTGTGCTATGCTCCCAAAGAGACCTGAATTTGGGATAAAAGCTCTATCTAGCATAAAATATGAAGTAAAAGAGACCAGTCTTCTCTAGGTCATTTTCTTTTTTAAACTATGCGATATGGTGTCTACACAGATAATGCAGGAATCAGCCAGAAAATGAGAACTGAACAAAGAACATGACATGAAAACCGTATCTGTGCTGGTAATCACCTTCTGGAAGGGCATTTAACATGCTGACAGACTAGAGAAGCACCAAACAAGTGGCTTAAAACGATTTAAACCTCAGTACCTAACTCTAGATAAAGGACCTCGTTTTCCAGATAAAGTGACAACATCAAATCCTCTTCTCCTGCCGCCTTCTTTAACTTCCTCTGTGTAAAATCCATCAATGGGAACGTCTGAGGATTTTAGTGCTTGTGTGACTTTCTGGATCAAAGTAGTCTTTCCAATCCCTAGAAATAAAGAGGAAACAAAGAGTGCGTGGCATTAATCTCCTGTAGTAAAAGCCTATGTTTAAACATCACAGCAATTATGTGATTTAGCAGGAACATCCATTACAAGTTTGCAAATTGTTTCTTTCTTTTTTCTTAAAGGCAGGGAAAGCAAGAATAGAAGCACCTTTTAAAGCCTATGCTGTACTGATACTAAAATGCTTTATTATCCTTTAAGTAGGTCTACAGCGAAGTCACAACAGAATGGTACAAATACCTCAGCCTACAAGTGAACTTCCTAACTTAGATTGTGCCTGGACAGGCCACAGAGCTTGCCCCAAGACAAGCAAATGCACAAGAGATCAGCCCATGGTGAGAGTCATACTGTTAGACAGCTGGTATCTAAGCTAGCTGAAAGGCTGACTCCTGGTAGCAACAGAACCTCCTGGTCTATCACTGCTATTTGTTATTTTTCCAATGGAAATGAATTAATTCTCTTTTTAGATTAGGTCAAAACTGATTGTTATTACCAGAGGTGTGACTTCCAGCAGGATGAAGCACACACTACTTTTGTTCTGTCCTAGAAATTGGAATTGCTCCGTACCCTTGAGTTATCAGATCCTACATGGCAAAAAAACAGACTTCTAATGCTACAGTAATTAAAGCAAGAGTGGTTCTTAGAAGATAAAGGGGAAAGCATTTTTTTACTGTGAGGGCAATCAAGCCCTGGAAGAACTTGCCCAGAGAGGCTATGCAATTTCATTCTGGGAGGATTTCAAGACCTGACTGGATAAGGCCGTGAGCAACTTGGTCCAAGCACATAGCTGACCCAGCTTTACACCTCCTGAAGTCTCTCCCTGAGTGAATTAAACTAGGCTCCTATAATCCATTCTCCCACCCTAATATAGATCTTCAAGACCTTTCCCAGCTGACATCACCTAGCACTATTTGATATACTTTCTACTATGTGAATGCTGGCCATCTTCCAGATACCCTCAGCTCCCACAAAGGAGCTATTTCCTTATTTTACCTTCATAGAAGTAAATCCCTTGACAAAGCTGAGCTTGAAAAAAAGGAGTGTTGCCTCTCAAAATTTAATGTTATCACTTCATTTTTAATCATTATTATAAAGAAAATCTGCTTTAAAAATAGAATTATCCTGCACGAAAAACAACTCAAACATTAAATTCCTGGAGACAAAGAATATATACTATTGCAATGTGCATAAAGATGCCAAGAGAAGTCTTTTCAGTATGCCTATATCAAATTCCTTCCCCAAATTTTAAGCATATTTAGTATCACAGAATAGTTTGAGCTAGAAGGGACCTTAATGGTAACAGTTCCAACCCCCTGCCATGGGCAAGGACACCTCTCACTAGATTGGGCTGCCCAGGGCCACATCCAAGCTGTCCTTCAAGGATGGGGCATCCACAGCTTCTCTAGGCAACCTGTGCCAGTGCCTTGGCACCCTCATAGTGTATAATTTCTTGTAATACCTAATCTAAACCATTTAAAGCTATTACCCCACATCCTATCTCTACACTCCCAGATAAAAAGGTTCCCGTCCAGCTTTTCTGTAGTCTGCCATTAAGTACTAGAAGGCTGCTATAAGGTCCCCCAGAAGCCTCCTCTTTTCCAAGCCAAAATATCACTGACAAAATCCGATGTAGCTCCAAGGGCATCTGCTCAAATATGATTTCTGAAGATTGAAGTCAAAGGAATTCCTGGCATTTGAACAGCAACAAAATAACAAACATGTAACCAATCAATATCTGCCATCTTTCCAAGCCCTTGTCTCTGTAAGAGAATTTATACTAATTCAGCTAATCTCTGATTTGGTTACCTTCATTCAGTCAATTGCCAAAGCGAGCTGAAGTGATTAAAACTAAATTTAAGAAAGCTTAAACTTACACGTTTATCTAATCAAAACGATACATTCAATTTCAGTTAAATGAACACAACCAACCAGCTTACCCTACTTTGTATTTGCCAGATGACTGCCTCTGCTCTGGTGAATAGAAAGGATGAATAAAGCCAGTGGAATGTATCTCTACCTGAACTTACCCATAACATTTTATTTTAATTCCAGACCATACAAGTATCTCGAAAGGTTCACACACACACACACACACACACACACAAGCCCATGGCTTTATTAAAACAAGCTTTTCCAGTGTGCTAACTGATGTGTTTACTAACTCCATAGCTCATGCAGCATCCCTCTCTCCCTTCAGGATTAGCAGCTTTTCAGTATCTAAGGGGGGGGATTATACAGAATTACGCTGGACTAGAAAACCTTTCAGGGTTCCCTTCCAACTCAAATTCTATAATCATATCCGTTGCCATCACAAAACACTCCTCCAGCCAAGGCCTACTATTCAACACCAACTGTTACTCTGTAACTGTATGTGACTTAGGTTGCAAGAGCTAGATCACTACAATTAAGGAGGAAAACAAAACCACTACGAAATTATTAAAAACTGATGTTTAGTTGAAGTGGGATTCGTTGTCCAGACATTTCTCTGCCCAACACCCAGCCGCGGGGCTGGAGCCAGGAGCAGCACACGAGCACCTGGCAGCGCGCACTACGTAGAATTAGGCCGGGAGCTAAAACAGATGCAGCGTGAGGAAGTTCGGGACGTATCAGCAGGCGACTCGCGGGAAGGACAGCGGCGACAGCTCCTCAGGCAGCGGCCGGGCCCAGCTACCGCCGGAGGTGCTGCCAGAGCTGCTTCCCACCCTGCCCCGGGCTTATATCCCCCGCCGGCCAGGCCGGACCAGGTGCTGGACTGCCGCGCCATTTCCCCTCGCCCTGCTCCCCGGGCTCCTCTTACTGCTGGCGCCAGGCAGCCTCGTTACCTGGGGGTCCCGTCAGGAAAACGTGCCTGGACATGGCGGGGAGCAGCGGACCGCTCTCCGCCCTTTACAGCCGGCGCGGCGCGGCGCGGCGGGCGACAGGAGCTCGGCGGGAGCGCCGCCCTCGCTCCGCCTCTCTCCCGGCGGCCCCGCGCAGCACCCCGGGGAGGTTGAAGGGTTCGGCGCTGTGCCCTGGTGCGGAGAACGGGGTACCCTGAGGAAGCCCCGGATGGGACGGGCTCCTGCCCTAGTGCTTCCCGTAGGATGGATGTTACTTAAGAGTTGGGGCTAAGGGAACGAGAGGATAAATTAGTTTCCTAATTTTTTTTTTTTTTTTTTTTTTTTTTTTTTTACAGTCAGCTTGACCTACTTATTCAAATATTAAGTTGGAAGAAGCTTTCCCTTGAGTTGTTATTTTTTGTTTTTGTTTTTTTAACCCATTTCAGTAAACAACGTGATCCGGGATGTAGGAAAGCAATCAATAAAAAGATAAATGAGTCATCTGATAGCTCCATGTAGATAAGCAAGGGAGGGGTAAGCTGCGGGTTCACTGACCGCCTCGCAGCAAAGCTGGGTGAATTCTGGGTCACAACGCAGAATTACAGAATAGTAGAAGTTGGATGGGACCTCTGAAGACCACCGAGTCCAACCTGCTCGCTCAAGCACAATGCCCAGGAGCAGATCAGCCGGTGCTGTGGCTTTTGAGTATTTCCTAGGAAGGATATTCTGCAGCCTCTGAACAGCCTGTTCCAATGCTCTGTCATCTTCATAGCACATTTTTCCTTACGTTCAGTCGGAATTTGCTGTGTTTGTGCCCACAGCCCCTCCCCTGCCGCAGCTCCATGCCGCTCCCTCGGGCCCTGCCGCTGTCACACAGCAGAGCTCAGCGCTGCCCCTTCGCTCCCTGCGAGGAGCTGCAGCCGCCATGACGCCTCCCCTCAACTCCTCTGCTCTGCGCTGAGCACACGCAAGTGGCTGAGCTGGTTCTCACAGCTACTTCACCATCTTCATAGTCTTCCTTTGGACTATCTCTAATAGTTTTATGTTCTTGTTCTGCTTGGCACTGTGGAGATTTGTTACAGAGCTGGAGAAAGGATTTTGGTGTGGAGTTTCCAGTTACCTCAGGGTCAATACGTTCATGAGTGGAAATTGCTCTCCCTGTTTTCAGAAGCTGCTGCACTGAAGCAATGCTAGGAGGTAGGGTTATTGAGCGAGGTGTGTGTCACTCAGGTGGCATTTATAACCAGGGCCAGTGGCTGGGATCCCACTGGGATTTGAAGGCATCAAGAGGGGAAGGAAGAATGAAAACTAGTGCAGCTTGCCAGCACAAAGTGTGGGGGATGTGCAGAACTGCCTATCACCAAGCCCAGGTCTGGTGTACTGCACTTAGGTCAGCAGAGGAAAGTCTTTCTTCAGCTGGAATTTATAAATCAGAGCCATTTACAGTTGTTCTGTAACAGCAGGTGAGGCACTTCTGCTGTGTGTAATAGGCTACCATCTAGGCAGCTGGTGGAAATCATGCTTCTACACTTGCAGCCTCAAGCTGAGGGAGCTGCCATCCATTATGTCCATTTTCCAGGAGTGTACTCTTACAACCAAACTCACAGGCTTTCCCTTTTAAGGCTGAGGCATGGTTCAGCTGCAAATTCAAGCTGATTGGGCCAGAAGGTGATGTAGGGGAGGGAAGAACTAGTTTTTGCCCTAAACGGCATTGCACAGTCGTTGGATGTATTGTATGTGGTCAATTAACTGGATATGTTCATAGAATCATACAATGCTTTGGGTTGGAAGGGCCCTTAAAGATGATTTAATTCCAGCCCACCTATTACATATTACGTATTATATATTACACTTTACATACTACAGATGAGCAGTACATTCTGTTTTATGTAAAATCTAGGGAGTGATTAGAAGCAAAATTTGGTACTTGTGAGTAGGCCAGGGATTGTTTGTATCGCAGTTTAGAAGAGGAGAGATCATAACTCCAAATTCTTGCTTACCTATACTCCACTTTCACTGATAACCACATTTAGTTAATTTATCTTTCTCTTAAACATAGTGACTTTAATTCTCATTCCACATGAGTAGTGTTGAATGTGTATCGTGCTCAAATACTCGTGCTCAAATACTTAAAAAAAAAAAAAAGAACTTGAAAACTATGACATGCCTTTTGGAGGGTAGAAGGGTCAAGAAGGAACAAAGCTTCCCATATAATCTAAAAATGAAAAATACATTTTCATAGTTTACGTACCAGGACTTTCTTTGTTGTTTTTCTTTTCAAGAGCAGTGAAATAATCACAGTGTTAACTTATGGCTTCCCACAGGGGTTTGTCAGGCATCTTTAATCTAAAGAAAGAATTACAGCAAAGAACTGTGTATTTACTAGACTGTTAACAGTGTTAACAGCATTTTATAACTGGCTGCTTCACCCTTGGCCTGGACTTCCTGCACAGAACTTATTGTGCTTGGTTTTACAGGTAGGTTTTCTGTGTAATATTAAACTATCTCAGACTACTGGCTGGTTGCCAGTAGTTTGTTTTGTTCATACGATGTTGTTTTGTTCAACGTACAGTTTTGCTAGTTTTTATAAATCAACCTTTCATTTGCAGAAGTGCATGTGGGGAGTTCTAGGGCTATCACTGTTTGACAGAACCCTTGGTTTTTGTACCCTAATTGAAGAACCATTTAGTTCTGCTTTCGGATGCAGAAATAACTATCAGTAATTTCACTGTGTTGCTGAATCCTTGGGCTTGCAACCAATTGTGTGAATAAAGCCATTGCAGCATGAGGGCTTGAATTAATTAGCATTCCATTATAATTTATGTATTTTTTACATAAAATGTGCTCTCCTTCTGGGTGCTCTGTCTAGGCTGAAGTCATTCAAATGCACCAAGAACAGGCAGTAAGTATGCCGACTGTGCATTTGTGGAGTTCTGCTGTTATGGGGACCTTGTGTTTGCTAAATGCATTTGAAGTTTTATTTATATTTCCTCAAAGACTTAGTATTTAGGTCTGCTCCCTTTTGTATACTTTATAATCTAGTTGCTGCTTAGAACATGAGCTGTTCAAGAAGCATGAAATGCCATGTGCATGTTGTCTTCTTTGTAGCTGTGTGCTATAGCCAGTTGTCTGTAAAGTCAGCCTGCTTGCTCTCCTGGTCGTGGGATTTTTTGCTTTTTTGGATAGGGATGGCTGGCTGGAATAAAAAATACAACACATACCCTAGCATTGCCAGTAACTCTAAAAGAAAGTGTGTGGCATGGGTTATACTTTTTTAGGATGAGGAGAGAAAAAGCTAGCTCTTCGTCTTCTGAAATGGGTAGCTTAGTAATCATTTATTTCTAAATGGTGAATGGTCTGCTGGCAGAAAGTGTCTTCATATCCAATTACCTAGGCTCTATTTTTGGAAGATGAGCATCAGTTAAACTCAGCTCCTGCTGAATTGAATGCTGTGGTTGGGCAAGTCCATGAAAGAAGTGTTTGCAAAAGATTGGTGCTTGGAAAACATCCTTGTTGGAGTAGGGAAGATTGTGATTCTGTTGTGAGTGACCTGTAGAGACCTCAGAGGGAGCTGCCAGTCATAGTTATAAACTGCGTGCTAAGCCTGGGGAAGCCTGCCTTTATTGCTAGATGTTCACTAAAAAACTTGGATGGAGTCCTAGATCTTTACGTTGAATGGGGAAAAATTAATTAACTGCAAGTTTCCAGACCAGTGACTAAGAAAAGAGGTCATTTTTGTTATTTATAGTATTCCTTAGAGCAGAAGCTGGAAGGAATGAGAGTGTAATCTACCATCTCTGACCCGTACCCTCAGTTGGGCAGTAGTTTATGTTTTAGCACTGCGTCAAGGAAGACTCAGCACGTTGCTAGAATTCTGTCCCTTTGTTTATCTGCTGTCTATTATTTTTCTTACAGGAGAGAGGAAGTTTAAGTTGAAACCCTTTTCTTGCTCTCTGCCAGCGTTCGTTTTTTTTATTCATAGTACTCTGAGTTTGTACAGCATTTTGCTGAGGTCAGGATAGAGAAGTACATGTTATTTTTTAAGAGGTTTAATGTTAGAGAGTTCTTGGTTTTGTCCTTCTTCTCACTTGCAGGGAATGTTACTGCTTACAGATAGTGGGCCTAGCTGAATCCCACTAGTTGATACCAGTAGTTGTTTCCTTCTGACTGCCTCTGTTTGGCCTGTGGGGTAAGCGTGGTGTCAGCAGGTATCTGAGAATAAGCCTTGAGCTTCTGTGGCCTGCCAGTCTTTAATCTCAGACTTCCCAGAGAAATAAGCCACTAGGTAAATGCTGGGCCTCCTCTAGATGAAAACTGTGGTGCTGTCTGTGTCAGTGATTTGACTATGAATCTTCTCCTATGTGGTTCACAAAGTAGGAATTCTTTATGTTCCATCAATGGTTGTCACTGTTCCTTCAGGCTGAAAAGTTCCTGAAAAAAGAGATAGAAGAAATAAATCTAATCAAATATTATAAATACCCTCTATATGTAAGCAGGCAATAGTTGTGAAGAAAATTAGGTGAATTTGCTACTGTAAACAGAGACCAACCTTCAGAAAACAGTTGTGTGTCTCTACCAGCACAGCACACTGTCTACCCAAACCAATGTTTGTCTATCAGTCCTTATGGTTGTGTTCCTTATCACTGTAAACATACAATATATACTTTTGGGGATTAGTTTCTCTGATTATGAAGTCTTTGACCCTTCAGAGAAATGCATGTAGTTAAGCAAGGCAGTCAGGAAGAAAACAATAAAAATAGTTCATCTATGTAATAGGACTGGACTGGTCTATGTGTACAAGTCTGCCTTTCAGATTAGGAACTGAACAGAATTTCTGAAGAGAAAAATGGGAGATGGTATGGCACTGGTCAGGGAGAAAACTTGTGTACTTTTGAAAAACTTCTGTGCCACACTGATTTCTTTTATTTTTATTTTTTTGAAGTTTGCTCAGTGCCAAAGGGTGCATCTGTATGTCTCATTACAGGATATAAGCTCAAATAATATGATTCTCCTCACTATTGAGACAAGAATAATACCATTAAAAGATATTTCCTTCAGCTGCTACCAAAATAGATTCATATTTCCGGATGTTGTGTTCTGTTAATTCG